GTGTGTGTGTGTGTGTTGTGTGTGTGTGTGTATTTCCTCCCTGGGGAACTGAGGCTGAAGTAATGAAATGCTCATTACTGATTCAGCTGGAAATGCTTGGGATACATTTACACGCCCACACACACACACGAGCTATCCAGACGCTTTTCAAGGTCACCTCGCATCATTAGCTTGTGTGTGTCTGTGTGTGTGAGCGAATGCTCCGTGTATATAAACTGAGGAACAACAAGACTGCCCCTAATTGGGGCCTAAATTGACAGTTCTGTACAGTACACTACAAGTATTTGATATCGCATGCGATGGATCATTAATGCACTTTCTATTTCACACACGCACATATGCTTAGCGCATATACATCTTCACCTTTGCTGTCAGTTCATCGTTAACTTTGGCTCCTCAGATAATGCTTCTCCTGACAACTGTTCCATGGGCACAAGCAAACACACACACACACACACACACCTGATATTACCCTCTGCACCAAGACAAGAGCACAAATACTCTTCTTTTTTTGCCTGACACATCCAAATGCGTTCATTGAGTTCTGCTTCACACACAGGCGGAGCTGATCAAAGCATAACTAACGAGTTTCTGTGACACACACTGTGTTTTTGCACACACAGACACACACACATGCAGCACATACACTGTGGCGTCTGTTGCCATTAGGAAGAAGCTGTGCTGTCAATAGGGTTTTGTTTTAGCTGGCCAAATGGAGGAATCAGACACAGCTATGCTGATGTTTGGGTAGCAGCTTTCCCGGAATAGTTGTTGCAGGAATGCTAAAGTGTAATATTACAAACAGAGCTCCAGATGCAAATTATGATTGTGGCTACAGTTTGAATGCTTTGTGTCTAAAATAGGAAAACATGAAAACACGAAATATATGATTTATGTGTCACAAAGACAAGAATGCATTTCTCCACCCCAGTGGCACACATTGTGTTTTGCTTGCCATTTATTGCCAATGTCCTCACAATACAGTCCTCACAAAAAGAAAATGTATATATATATATTTAGTTTATTTTAAAAAAAATATTCCCAGACTGTTGAACGTTTACCAGGAGAGCAAAAAGGGCATGGATGGATATATTTATGTCGCATTAAAAAATGCAATGGTAAAGAATTTGACATTTAAATTTTAATTAGGTCTTGTTATTGATTATGATCCACAGCCGATGAGAAATGCCAAACAAGAAGCATTTAATTGTTTCTGCACAAAACGAGAAAAGAATACCAAGGAAAGCATTTGGAGGCCGCAAACTAGAAGAATCTTAGCTTTCAAAGGGTTGCAAAGCTGTAAGGTTTTGACAGTCATCACTGAGCCACGCGTTGCAGTGTGCAGGACCTCTCTCAAGAAAATATGTTGTTGGCGGTGCAGAGAGAGAAGACACTTCTTCTTCCAAGAGAGATGGCTAAAGCTGGGCGCCTTTAACCCGCAGCCTGACTCAGCAAGAGGTGCACGCATCATGTAACACTGGATGCCATACTGTGCTTCTGGAAAGCAGAAGTTCATGTTTTACCAATGAAGCTCTGTGTTTCCCTCTCACACATTTTAGCAGTGTGGAGAGATGCTGGTCAATGGGGCAAGCGAGTCAGACGTTAAAGTGAAGATTAAACTGCTCAGATTGTGTTATTTTAGGAAAGTGAAGCAACTCTTATGGTTCGAGTTAGTCTGCAGTACATTAATGTCAGCCGAGGTCCTCTGAAGTTATATGTAAGGAGAAACAAAGAGCGAGGAACTCCACGCTGGGCATACAGTCTCCTGTCTAAGGGTCACTACAGCCATTTATGGCAATTCGCCACCTGCTTTGGACTCTTACTGTCACCTCTGGGTGAGTTCTTCCGCTAAATCCAATTTCCTCCAATCCCGTTGTTTTGGAAAAGTGTCTAAATTACAACTCAGGGGTGACAGGGTCATATTTATTGTTTTGGAAAGGAGGAGTTAGTGAATCTGTTTCCATTTTTATCCAGCTGCCCTCTACAGCCATTACAGTTGCAGTTTATTGCAGGACATAGTGACCACTGGTGTCCTGCCTTGTAAAGTGTCAGCTCAGCTCCTTTAGGGATGCAAACTGCAGTTCACTGACTGTCTCTCAGTATGTCATTAATTTGCCCAAATAGACACACACACACACACACACACACACACACACACACACACACACACACAGATAAACCCATCCTTGCACCTTGAAATACA